TTCTACTTATTTAAGGCCCCTACATGAGGGTTCGGGTCCGAGGGGCTGGGTTCAGGGTTCGGCGTTTGTGGATTTAGGGTTCAGGGCTCAGGGTGTAAGGTTGGCACCGTTTGGGGTTTAGGGTTATAGGGGTTTAGGGTTTACGGTTTAGGGTTTAGTTGCAGGCTTCATCCAGGACTTCGTCCAAGAGAGGCCCGAGGACCAGAAGCGCACAAAAGCAAGACCCGTATCAACCCCGGGAGAATCCTCAACGCCGAAAGCCCGAAACCCTGAGCCATACGCAGGCCCCAGCTCGCACAACCCTGAACCCTAAACCCGAAACCCAAATCCTGAGCACTGAACCCTAAATCCTTCTGGCAGAAAGTTGAGAGCTTCCTGGTGCTTCCTACCGTTTAGGGTTTAGGGCCTAGGGCCTAAACCCGAAACCCTAAACCGCCTAAGTTTAGGGTTTAGGGCCTAGGGCTTCTGATGCTTAAGTCGGAGTCAAAGAGATCGTGAGGGCTCCGGGCTCGGAAAGCACCCCACCACACCATTCGAGTTACTATCGCCCCTTGGGTAGTTCTCTACATGAGGGTCCCTTTTCAGGCATTTTCAGGTCCCCAATACAGTACGGCACCCTTTACAAACCCTAAACCCCCAAACCTCTAAAACCCCAAAGCCCTAAAGCCTTAACCCCTAAAACCCCAAAACCCCAAACCACCTAAACCCTAAAACCCTACCTAAAAACCCTAGACCCTAAACCACCTAAACCACCTAAACCCCTTCATAAACCCTTCAGGCGCCACAGGGATCCGAGCAAATCGATCAAATTCTTCAAATCCGGCCAGGGCCTCGGATTGAGGGGTTTTAGGGGTTTCAAGGTTTAGGGGTTTTCGGCGTTTAGGGTTTTTAGGTTTTGGGTTTCAGGGTTTAGGGTTGTAGGGTTCAGAGTTTTAGGGGTTTAGGGTTTTAGGGTTTAGGGTTTAGGGTTCGAGTTTGGGGCTTATGGAAATTTGTTAGGGATTTGGGATTATGGGATGAGGACGTGAGGGGGGTTGGGACTTAGGGGATTTACGAAACTCTGGGCTAAGATTGGGGTCGGTGCTTCGGGTGTTCGGCGTGATGAAAGGGAATTCGATCTAATGCCTAGGCACACCCCTAAATCCTAAAACCCTAAAGCCCTAAAACCCCAAACCCTAAACCTTAAACCTTCAGCCCTGAATGCTCGCGGAGGCCGGGCTTCATGGTGGCCAGAAGCAACCTGTCCACCAGCCTACGTTGTCCGAATGTGCGGCCTGACCGGATCGTAGCGTTTCGTGCTTGGGGTTTCTAGGAGTTACAAGTCTTACAGCCTGTAGGTTTACAGGATTTACAGGGTCTAGGGCTTCCGGGTGTCAAGCTTGGGGCTTAGGCATCAGGCACATGTTTCGAGACCCAAAAAAGTCCGTAGTGTAGGGCTCTCAATCATTAGAGCTGGGCTTTGGATATTCCACGCATTTACACATTGTACCGTTTCCTTCAAGGATTATAAGGGGATATTATCCGATTTGCTTGTGCCCATTGTTGCATACATATAATATACTTTCGTCAAAAGCACCATAAGGGGATACTTACCAAGTATTCCGGTTTCGGCTAAACTCTAAACCCTAAACCGTACCCAGCTTGCAAACATTTTCCTGAGGATGGCCTGCCCTGGGGGACAGCTCATGGCAGACCAGGGAGTCAGGGACATGTGCGAGCACGGCTACGAAGGTGGAGCCTGTAGGATCCTATGGATCCTTACATATGTATATATATATATATATGTGTGTGTGTGTGTATAGAATTGCATATAATTATGTGTGCTTATACCATAATAATAATAATACCATTATACATACATACATATATATATATATATAGAGGACGAGGGAGCCCGTAGGATCTTGATTGGGGAATTCCCTAGACCTTCAGCTCTATAAGCCAGCGCAGACCGTCGGAAAAAGTCACCTCAAACGTAAAACTGAACCCTAACCCTAAACCGCAATTCAGGGTGTACTGTGTAGCACTCGGGGTTTGGTCTTCATCGGAGCTGTCTGGTTTTGAGGTCCGACGACTCATCACACCCTCGCACCCATCACGAGCACCCCAGAGATCATGCCAGGAGTCGACGCTAGGTGACTGATAAGAGAGAGTTTCGACAAAACGCAGCAAAGCAGCGCCTTTCTGCGAAGCTCCATGCAGGTTCTGAGATCTGGTGTCTGATTTTGCTAAAGATCCCAACGGCGAACCTAGTTCAGAGCACGCCCCACAGTCTTTCCCACGTGGTTTTCGAAACCAACAGAGGGCCAATATGTTGTGCCCAGCAACGGGGCAGGTCACGGCTGCGTTAACTGCCAAAAGAGCAGCCATGGCCGCGTAACAAACAACCCTTTCGAGTCACGGCAGCAAAAAGGGGGTGAGATATCCGCAGACAGTAGACAGTAGGATCGCGGGTCGACTTGCAAAGCTTTCGAAATTCCTGCGAAGAGGACCATGCCGGAAGAGTTCTTATGGCACGGGATTGCCCCCAGATCTGGACAGTCACGTCAAGAGATTCTTCGAGGTTTTGTCTGTCCCCGATGATTCAATTGCTCCTTCCTTGGGGCTCGTGTGGTACATGTAATGTACACACAATGTGCATATATATATATATATATCCATATATATATATATATGTATATGTATATGTATATGTACATGCATACCTACACATATTACATCATACGTAGTATAGGCACACCTTGCAGAGCAACAAACGCTTAATGTGTGGTGTACAACGTACCATCATGGAAAACATATGTGTGTGTACGTATAATCTTACACACGCATATATATATATATATAATATACCAATAGTTGTAGCAACATGCTGTAAGTTAATATCAAGGAGTACGTCACGGTCTCAGTTGTAGCACATGAGAACAGAGCACAACACGATGTATCATACATGCATACATACATATACATACATACATACATACATACATACATACATACATACATACATACATATGTACATATATATATATACATTCATACATACATTCATACATCTATGGTACGCCACTCATGGCAAGCAGTTTCAACAACATGTAACACGAAGCAGTTTATCACATTAAAATTTGTATAATTGAGTACATCACAGTCTCACAGGTTGTAGCACATGAGAATATAGCATAACATAAAGTCATAAAGTATCCATCATACATAGTTACATACATACTTACATACTACATACGTACATACATACATACATACGTACGTACGTACATACATACACACACATACATAAATACGTACATACATACATACGTACGTACGTATGTACGTACATACACACACACACATCCGAAAATGTTTGGTACCTCTATGTCCATGGATCTGCCGTCTTCGTCTTTGTGCAGGCAAAGCCAATGTAATACGCATGTATGAGATGAAGCGGAAGCGGTGTGGACGTGGGGTTGTCAGATGGTTTGCAGTACTTGTAAAACATGCTGCCATATTCTTTTCGTTGTGTTGGCAACCTTGAGCTTATGCAACGAGCTGTCTAATCACATGGTTGGCTTCAACAAACTAGTCTCTATGTTCTCTCCGCAATGACACAGTACACAGCATGCTACAATTTGTAGTTCTTCAAGCTGCAGTTCAACTCACTTCTCTCTATGGTAAACGTCTTCATATCGCTTCAAATCCTGGAATTTGCAAAAGCAGCTTCTTACTTCACATGTTCGTTTCGTTTGGAAACACGGCTTAGATTTAACTTTTGATGCGCAGACTTTGTGAGTTTTATCGCATGATCAACATTAGCAGCATCTATGCAACCACACACACCTGGGTGTCACATGTGCGAAGGTTCAATGCGGACATGCAACACCGAAAGTTGTACTAAAGTAATGGACTGGTGCACCCACCGGGGCATTAAAGCCGGTGTATTGGAACTTACAGTGGATCAGGCTTTCGGTGGAACTGTGTCCGACTGATCTTCTGTAACTACATATTAGGATGCTGTCCCAAAGCACACAATATCATATAAGATCATGTAGTTCAAAAACCTAGAAAATAACAGATAATAATGTACTATTTCAGAGTAGAACAGCATGGAGCACAATAACGTATGTTTATGTGCATCTTTATACCGCTATATAGGCTGTATATATATATATACACATGCATATATGCACTTTTTAAAGATGCATATACCTACATACAAGATCGACAGCCTTATAGGTGGATAGAGAGATAGATAGGTAGGTAAATAGTAGATACATAGATAACTAATGAATGAGAGAGGGAGGGAGAGAGAGAGAGAGAGAGAGAGACCGAGCGAATAGGCCGCCCTCCCCGACAAGCTCACAACACAGTACAGGCACCTAGTCTTGTATTGTAGGGCAGTGAAGCTTGATAGGGTCTTCGAAACTGAGGCCTGCGCTGCCTGTGCCGAAAGGCCCTTTCGCAAGGCCCCAGGGGTGTACTCGGGGTTTCTAAGCCGTCGTTTCACGCCGTGGGGCTTGGAGGGCTTCGAGGTTTAGGGTTTAGGGGTTTAGGGGGTTTAGGTTTCAGGGTTTGTTGTTGTGTCATTGCTATGTGGCCGCCGGATGGCTTTGTGGTTTCTGGTTGCAGATATGGGTGGGCAGTGTTGTCTGTTGTCCAGATGGGACGGCATTTTCATCTGGCATTCCAATGCAAGCCATGATAGCGAGATACCTTTCATACGTAGCAACTTAGCAAAAAGGTATATGTTTGCAAACATAAAACTGTATATATATAAAATAATAATATAAGATAATGTTATATATATACATATATATATATATTTATTTATTTATTTATACACTTGTTACTCCAAATCTTCCGAAGCCTGTCAGCGCGAGGTCTTTCAGTGGACCTGGTTCATCCTCCAGTCTCTCGGTTCGGTTTAGCGCTTTCCGGTAAGCCCTAAAACCCTAAACCCTAAAGCCCTAAACCCTATAAACTTAAACCTTAAAACCCTAAACCCTGAACGGCGCAGCAGGGAAGAAGCTGTGACGGAACGCCACCTCAGCAAAAATGTCTCCTAGAAAGAGTGGGAAGGGCGCAATTCGGCAGTCAAGGAAGCTGCTCGCGACTCTCCTAGTCAGAGTCACAAAACCCTAAACCCTAAAACCCTAAACCCTTAAACCTTAAAACCCTAAGCCCTAAAACCCTAAAGCCCTAAACCCTATAAACTTAAACCTTAAAACCCTAAACCCTAAAACGGCGCAGCAGGGAAGAAGCTGTGACGGAAGGCCACCTCAGCAAAAATTGGGGCTAATTACGAGGTATAGAACCGTTAAGGGTCCAAAGGACCCAAATGTTAGGTACCTAGGTTTCGGATAGTAGTTATGTAGGTTACGATTTGGGAGAATATGTGATTATTACGTGCTTGGATCTTTACGCAACAGCAGAGCCTCCAAAAGGAAGCCGCCTGGTGTTGCGAAACCACCTCACGCACGCCCCGACATCTCTTCAGGAATTCGGGAATCTTTGCGATATCCGCATCAGGTGGGCTTCCGGCATTATTCACACGGTTTCAGCTCTTCGCATTGAGGGCTCATCGGCCCTGTGATGTGTTTATAGGACTCGCGGGGTTGCGTACCTACATAAACCCCTCTAAAGCCCAACGTAACGTCGATATTACACAGCCCCAAACGTCAGAGAAACCCAGCTTTCATAGACAAATCCACTTGGTTGGGGACCCTTGCGTTTGGCAAGTGGAGTTGCGGTTATAGGCATTGTTTGTGGATATAACGACGGTTAGTGTGCGCATCTAAAAAGCCGGTGCATCACGGCAATGGTGATGACGATGATTGTCAAGATGGCGCAGTGTTTAATGGTGGACATGATACAGTATCTATAGCTAGTGGTTGGGTCCCACGGGTTCTTTTTGCATGACCCATTCCGATCAGGTGTTGTCACGTCTTGGTTTCACTGCTAGAATCTCAGCAGCGACCATGGCAACGACAACGACTACTACGACTGCCACAGTTACTACTATGACGACGGCAACGACTACTTCTATTGCCATTAATACTGCTACTGAATTGCTGCTGCTACCACTACTACTACTACTACTACTACTACTACTACTAGTAGTTGGGGCTGACCAGGAGCTGACAAGAGGCAGTAGAGGCCATGTATNNTGCAGCTTGGAGGCAATCCTCGATTGTTGCGCATCGTCAGTTGTACTACTACTACTACTACTACTACTACTACTACTACTACTACTACTTTTTATTTTTCTTCTTCCAGACTGCGATTGTCGTTATCCGTATCACCAGCTTTCACCTCCCTGATGTTTGCTTCAGCTCCCTGGTGCAAGAGAGATCCGAGCCTGCCAGAAAACCCCTTGAAACGGCCAAGGCCAAAGCTCATGACATTCCCTAACCTCCCAGGTACCTACTATATAGGGCACTAGAGGCCCTAGGGCCCTATATAGTAGGTACCTGGGTTTAGGGTTAGGGATTTTGAGGCCCGAAGTTTTCGACCCGACGGCCTTTGCCGTAAATCCCTTGCATAATGCTCGAAGCCTTGCAGGTCTTGGAATGAGATCCGCTGTTGCGCAGGTGTGCTGATGGTCGAACAGGAGAGCTACAAGAGCACCATCCTCACCAATCAGCTCATGTGGCTCGAGGGCACTATTGCTTCGTGAACATACTTCGTTGGATGTCGTGTGAAACATGCCAGCCAGTGGAGACAGAGCAGCAGCAAATAGATGTTTCGAAGTATCGCCACTGTCGCCATGACCGTCATCACCGCCGTTGTGGTGGCTACAGCACGTTGTCATCATCATGCCCCTAGTCACCACATACCTTAGCATTAACGGAAATGGTTGAACAAGACGAGACATTCAAGCCACAGATTTGGCTGCATCGCCGAGGGCAGCACGGTGGATCTAAGTCTGAACACACGCTGAAGACAGCAATGATACAGATGAGCTTTCTGCTTTCATGCCCACACTTGTTGTCAACAATGTTCCCAGAAATCAATACGTGGGGGTTTCCAAAAATTTGGGACCCTAATAAAGGACCCTAAATAATAGGTTCCTTATTATAAGGACCCCAAAATAAGGTACCCCTTATTTTCGGAAACTGCCATATGTGGCGTCACGATTTCGGGAGTGGCTCTCATTCTGCACCCAGGTCCTACGTCACGGTGTCCCTGCCGGCAACCGACTGAGAGTTTGGTTTGCTTTCTAACATGCCGGCATACAGAAGCTATTCTGGAGGTAGTTGCATGGCGAGGCATTTTCACCGTTCAGGTAAGCTTAAATACTTAGTTGGAATGGTTGCTGATTGCTGACTCGGCAATCGTCAGACCATCCTTGGTCTGCCAGATGCCTCGCCACCGAGGTGCTCACTGCCGTCATGTACTCGCAGACGTTCCGGAACACGGCAGAAATCGTTCAGGACACGATGGGGACATGGATTCCGGATTCGGTCAATCTTTCAGAAGTTAAATACCAATAGCGAGAGATGACTATGCAAGCCGCCTTCCACGTGCGCAGCATGAGTTTCCATACACACTCAGCGAGTGCCGCGAAAGCCAGTACTAGCATCAACAATAGCGACAGTCACCATCACCACCACCACCACCACCACCACGACCAGCGCTGCCACCAAAACCACCACCACTGCCACGACCACCGCCGCAGCCCCCAACCCTACCCGCCCTACCCTCCCCGCTCCCACAAGCACATCTGCTGCAGCAGCAGTGGCAACAGCAACCGTACTGTAGGGTGTCGGGTTTAGGGTTTTGTGTTTTAGGGTGTATATTTGAGGGGTGCTAGGGTGGTTTATGCAACAGCAACACAGCAAGAAACAACAATTCCATTGTGGTTCTGGCAACGACTGTTACCACGGATGCCAAGGCGACTGTTACCACTAAAGAAAGAACCACATGCTTCTTACGTTCCTGCCGATGCACTACTATTGTTAATATTGTTGCTCCTTCTGCTACTGCTACTGCTAGTTCTCCTACCACTATACTTCCACTGCTACCGCGGCTACTGCTAGTCGACTACCACAGTGGCTGCTACTCCTCCTGCTGCTGTTTTTGTCGTTTCTCCATGCATACTACTGCCTCGACCGGTGCTGTTGTGCATGCTTTTGTCGCAACAGTAATGTAGGGGCTTAAATAAGTACCTATATTATTTTGGGAGTTTCTTATTATAAGTATAGTATAATTGGCCCCAACACCCTATTCCTATGATTAAGGCCCCTACATTACCCGAGCATGGAGAGATCCTCAGTGGCACAGGAAATCTTGCACACCCTCCAGATTCCCGTGGAGATCGCGGATTCGGGGGGAGGCCTTTCGTGTAGCGATACCGTGAACAGAAGCAACAAGAACAGTCATGCGCAGTGGTTCTATGCCGACGCCAGCCGCATCAGCAGCATCATCACCTCATGGCTTCTCCCCGGGTGATGCTGGTGCTTGCAGCTGTTGCAAGAGCCGAGGTGAAGGGCTATCGGTTCAATGCCTGCTGGGTGCCTCGGCCGCATCGAATCTGTCGTCCGTATCAATACGGTTCCTGGGTATTTAGGCTTGCAGGTCAAAGCTCTGATGTCTTATGGTCTTATGGCATGCGAATTTGGTGAAGAGATTCTTCTAGCAGGCTACATCGGCCTGAAGAAAACACTCTACGGAACGGATGTGGTCTTCGCTGCGACGGCCCTGTGTCTCATGGCCATTCTCGGATGGCTTCCTGGCCTACATCTGGTAGCTTCATTGTTTTTTTGGAATTTAGGGCTGAAGGCTGTTCGGGCTTACGAACGAAGTAAGCTCTTCAGGGCTCGGGGTTTTCGACTTTACGTCAGAGCATGCTTAGCCATTTTGCAGGATCAAGTCTTTGGGTGCGAAATCTTGAAAAACTCCGCTGGGGTTCCCTAAACCCTAAACCCTAAACCGTCAAGGCTCGTGGACTTTTGGTCGGCGGTGGTGGTTGGCTTCAACTGCTTCTTACCGAGGATCTGTTTCTGCCTCGGGAGGCAGAGCCCACGAACTGTGGTTTAGGGTTTAGGGTATAGGGTTTAGGGTTTAGTGTGGAGGGGGAGGGATACAAAACATAGTGACAAGATGTAAGAATCGCAATAGTAAAGAGGTTGACAGTACAATAGCAATAATTCAGATAGCTGTCTGCATCATCATCATCGTCATCATCATCATCATCATCATCATCATCATATTGATACCTGCAGGAAAAAAGCTCCCAGGATAATTCAGTACAATACCGGGTGAGCAAGGGGGACAAGGATCGTTTGGAGCGGTGTTAATGTTGATGAGGACGATGAAGGTGAGGATGATGGCAGTTGCGATTTCCCCTGGTGGTACACAGAGAGCAAAAGGACCATGTACAGGCCGTCCACCAGTACAGATGGCGCAACTCTGCTGAGAGAACGGTGGGAGATCTATTAATAGGAACGGAAAGACTTGCTAGTAGTGTCACCTTCTGGTTCCCACTATCGGACGATGATCTACCCCAATACCCTATTCCAATCAAGCGGTTGTGCTGGTCATGCCTTCAGCAGCTGCTGCGTTTCCCCGGCTCGACCCGGTGCTCACGATTACGATGCTTGTGCAACATCAGAAGTGGCAGTAAGCACAGCACAAGAAATACGGAGGCTGCGAAGCAAGATGTTGCCTTCTTTCTCATGGCCCTGAAATCCTGGAAGCTGTTCCGACAGGCATTTGGTGTGCTACCGCATGCTGCCGCAGGCGTGGGACCCCCCAAAAAGGTTTGGAAAGGACAGTGATTCAGCAGATCGAGCCCAAAGGCAACTGGAACTTGTAGCCGCGAACCTCGTGCGCTTCTGTGAAGGGACATACCTTGAAGCCCTGCACGCTGACCCTGCACTGGCAAGCGATCATCAGACGTGTACACCTCTGGATTTAGCCAGTTTAACACAAATATATCTAAATGCACCCGTGGGTGCTTGCTTTTTCTTTACACACACACACACACATACAAGTTACATACATGCACATGTATGCATCCACATGTGTGTATGTGTGTATACACACATATATATATATATATATATGCACACACATGCATGTGTGTGTACGCACGCGCTATCGAGCGTCGTCCGCACATTGACTTCCTGCCTGCCCAACCTTGCTAACTTCATGAGCAAGCTTCAGATGCTGTTTGCCGCATGTCGCTCGATGCCGACATGCCCGTGGAGATCCCTGAGCCCTAAACCCGCAGGCCCCGACCCGCCAAAACCCTAAGCCACAAACCCCTACACCACTAAACCCGTGAACCCAAAACCCTCAACCCTAAATCTCAAGTCCTTAACCCTCAAGCCTTAAACCTTCAACCCTTAACCCTCAAGCCTTAAACCTCCAACCCTAAACCCTTAACCCTCAAGCCTTATAAACCTTTCACCCTAAACCCTTTGCCCCTAAACCCTGGTTCCGGAGGCCCAGGGAGGTGAAATGGTCTGCGGCTTTGAAGAGGACGTGCCTCGTTGTCATTGTCGGGTATAGCTATGAGAAAGCTGTAAAAGTAAATTTAATACAACTATGATATAGCTAGAATATAACTCTAATCTGACTATACATCTTCTTCAGGTCTTTGGGGTTTCGCCCGGTTTTGGGCCTTTGGGTTTAGGGTTTTCGAATTGAGGCTTTAAGGCTTGGGGGTTGTGGAGTTGTCAGGTTTGGAGTCACGACAAGGCCCAAATTAGCTTGGCGAGAACCTCGTATGCCGGTAGTCTAGTTCTTTAGGCTGCTATATTGCTCAATCTCCCTGGCTTCGCATTCGCTTTGGAAACAGCATGCAATCAAGCTTTGTCTCCTCGGTCCTTCAGAACTCCGCTGGACACTGTACACATATACGCGGGCTCCTTACTATAAGTATATTGTAATGCATCCCCGAGAAGACCTATTCCAACTATTACGGCCCATTATGCTACCTCTTCTGAGAGTTCAGCTCCTGCGCCTGACAGACTGCATTCCGTATATTATAGGATACTTCAGGGAGGGTTCAGGCAGTTTAGGGTTGAGGGTTTCTCCATGTTATAGGATACTTAAGGGAGGGTTTTAGGGTCTAGGGTTTCTCCATGTTGTAGGATCCTTTTAAAGGAGGGTTTTAGGGTCTGGGGTTTCTCCATATTATAGGATCCTTTTAAGGGAGGGTTTCAGGTTTTAGGGTTTCTCCATGCTATAGGATCCTTATAAGGGAGGGCTGGTTGAGGGGGGAGCGGGGGTACAGAACTTTTGGGTACCTGTGGAAGCACTAGGTTCCGTTGAGAGTTGACCGGCTGAATGTAGGGGCCTAAATGATTACCTATGCACTTTTTTTTGCGGGGGTCCTTGTTATAGATATAGTGTCAAGAGCCCCAAAACCCCATTCTAATTATAAAGGCCTCTATATTATATACCCTGCCTCGGAGCCCCCTTTCTTAGGGACACTCCTACCATAGGAATGCAGTTCATTTCGGATTCCCTAAACCCTAAAACTCTAAAGCCCTGAACCCGAAACCCTGAACCCTAAACCCTAAACCCTACCATAGGAATGCAGTTCATTTCGGATTCCCATGTAGGGTGCAGGCTCTCCTGGGCTTCAGTGTCCACCGGTCGCTGAAGCCCTGGCAGGGTTTAGGGTTTATAGGGTTTAGGGTTTAGGGTTTAGGATTTAGGGTTTAGGGTTTAGGGTTTAGGGTTTAGCCTCTGAGGCCCACATCCCCAAGCCGATGGCATGTGCGCGGGCCCCGGAGTAACTTTATCAATACTGCAGTGGGCAAAAACCAGATACCTAAACCCTAAACCCTAAACCCTAAACCCTAAACCCTAAACCCTAAACCCTAAACCCTTAGCCTTTCCAAATGACTCGGGATGCTATGATCTGCCATTGAGGGACTTCATTCAGGAAGCTTGTCCTGTCCTTACCCGTGCTAGCGTTATGCAGAGGTCGCAAGTGCGATGACCATAAAGATAAGACGGTTTGATCAAGTGTACGTCTGTTGGAGCTAAGCATCGGCTATATCGGCTGCAGACTGGCGTCAGTCGTTTATGCCAGGTCTAGACGGAGAGGAAACAAGCAGAGTCTCAGTTGCGCCGATCGTTTTTCCTGAAATGTGTCGATGCAAGGAAGCTGTATGTTCTCGGCCGGCAGGAACAGCATCCCAGCATAAATGCCAGCAGCCATGTTACAGCAGAAGCGACGCTGGATTGTCTTTGTTGTGCCTGCCTTTTATAGTAATATTTATACTTATAAAGAGTGTGCAAGAACGAGACGTGTACCCAGATGAGCTTCGGGATGCTGCGTGAACTGCTGGGCTATAGTTCCTGCACATGCAAGCTGGGGACAAGTATACCTCCAGACGAGAGGGAGGGGAGACACAAAAGCTGCAGCCCCTAAACCCTAAACCCTAAACACAACAAACTAAAACCCTAAACCCTAAACACAAAAGACTAAAACCCTAAACCCTAAACCTCAACCCCTAAACCCCTAAGCCAGGACCCCAGAGGCCCAAGAGCAGCAAACCCCAGAGCCTCAAATCCCAGCAATATGGAGTTTCCCAGAATAAGGGGTACCGTATTTTGGGGTCCTTATAATAAGGATCCTACTATTTAGGGTACTATATTAGGGTCCCCTATTTTCGGAAACCCCCATATTGGAGCTTCGGAAGAGAACAAACCACACTGCAGAGCCCAATTATGCCTAACCCAAAGGCTCCATGTATCTTTATAGTAGATACTTAGGCCTTAAAGGGGTCCCTATATAGGTCCTTTAAGGCCAAAGTATCTACTATAAAGGTACATGGAGCCTTTGGGTAAATGGTAAGGGCCGAACTCGGCGAGCACGATGCACGGAAAGGTCATGTGGAGTCGTTGCTTTTGTGACAAGGTGATGATGGTTGTGTGCTTCGTGGTCGGCGCCGGCATGTGGGCCGCACTTTCCTCGGATACAGACCGGCACATGATATCCGAAGAGCGTCAAGATCAAGAGTGAAATGAAATTGATCAGTTGTGAGCATCTCTAACGTCGAGCGCATACCAGCTGTGTAAGAACTCAAAGCATTCCTGCTTGTTTGCATGACCGATGATGTCAAGATGCTGCTGAGACTGCTGTTGTTGTTGTTGCTGCTGCTGCTGACAACGACTACGACTGCGACCACGACGACGACGACTACCACTCCTACTACTACTAACACTATAACTACATACTAACTACTACAGTGAAATCCCTGTATAAGAACCCCACTCCGTGAGAGTAACCTACCCTAAGGTTCTTACTTTCTCTTACCTCTGGTTTTGCCGGCTGAGTAGTTAGGGTAGGCCAAGGTTCTTAACCGCGTCCTTATCTAGACGCAGCGTGTACCTTGAGCCAACATGGCCACGGTATCTACGCTTACCTACCCTGCCCTGCCCAGCCACGCACAACCCGGCATTTTCCATTTTGAAGTTTTGTCCACCTCTGCCCCCAAGCCCACCCGCACCCCTGCCCACTCCTGCCTGCGCTGCCATTGCCCTGCCCAGCCACGCACCATCCAACCCCACCCGCAGGAGGAGCCGTACAGGCAGAGCTACATTGCTGATCAAGAGGCATATGAGCAGCACAAGCTGCAGCAGGTTTTCAAAGGCAAAGAAGCAGAGTCAAGCCAGCGTGGCAGAAGCAGAGGGCGTGGGACAGACTTTGCTCCCGTCTCAAAGCGTCCAGGAACCAAGATGCAGGATGACAAGTCCGAGAAGCCGAAGCGTGGCAGGGGCAGAGGGCGTGGGCAGCGTCTGTTCCCCAGGCGTGCAAGAGCTACCGACTTTGAGGATGACCGGGACGACATGGACGTAGCCGACGATCCCACAGCTGTTGCTCCACGCACGACAGTAACAGGGCTCGTACTTTCGCACACAACCCGCTTTTGCTCGGTATTTACAGTACT